ACTAACATTATTCGTTAGAAAGTAATTGATATCACATTAGAGTTCAGTTATAATATATCCCTCTGCGTACAAAATATTATCGAAAGCACATTAGATGCTAACCAAAATACAAGAAATGTTTAGAATGTAAAATATTTTAATGTAAATTTTTTAATATTTAGATGTAAATTTTTAATTTAATAAACTCAAGAAGTTTTGGAAATTGTATCTAATAGAAAATTTTATAACTTCTGATAATTCATTATGTTTTTAAAAACAAAATTAATAATATAATTAAGGACCAAACATAATGACAATAATTTCATTCATCAGTGGATTTCGTTAATTTATCGAGGCAATCGTACGACTTTGCTTGAGTGACATATCTGCAACATAGAAAAATTTTCGTTAATATTTCATATATTATCATTAATTAATAACGGCACTGAAAGCAAAAAGCAAAGATTATAGTCGGTAATTGTTAATAGAGCAAAGCAAAAAAACTAACCATGTTAGCTAATAGCTAAATATTAATCTAAACATGGTTTGCGTGACACAACCGTTTATGCGTTGGATCTCTTCGAGCGACGTGAAGTATCAAATTTCCGGCTTTGGCGCTTTTGAACATCTGTAATGCCTTGGCGTGTGTCAACCCATCCAACGAGGAGCCATTGATCGCTAAAATTTCGTCTCCCACTCTCAAAGTACCTTAAACATTACAGATAAACCACTGCAAATTTTCTCTCGTACGTATCGTCAAAAAAGATACAACGTACTTCCTTTGTGTACTTTTATATACCCAGTAATCAAGAATGGATTAAAATAGATTACAATTTTTATGCATATTTTAAGTCCATTAAATTCAATTAAAGTTAAAAAAGAACTTTTTTTAGTCTTATTTTCTTTTTACCTTATTCTTTCTTTAATCTTATTTATTTAATTCTCATTCCGTTCCATTGAATTCAATTGAATAAAAAAAGAACTTTTTTATTCCACTGGATTCAAAAAACTGCATCTCTTATTCAGAATTTTTAATTTTAATTTAATATTTGCGAATGTGTATTTCTGAAAATCTGAATCCATTTCAAGCTATTTCAATCCATTCTCTTATTGAATATATCAATTTCATATTCTAAAATAAACCGTTCTAATGTTTCGCAAGAAATACGTACCTTCTTCTGCAGCTTGTCCACCAGGCATAATATCCTTCACAAAAATACCCATGCGTCCTTTATTGCTATCAACGCCGCCAACAATGGAGAAACCCAATTTCTTCGGCGCTCCTTTTTCTAATATGATCGTCAACAGATCAATGGATAAACTGGACCCTCGTCGAACAGTGGACGCTTCAGAGCTTCGTTTTCTCATGACCTGAAACTTCTTCATACCTGTCATCTTCTGGAGACTAACAGTCGCATCGTCAACGGCGCGAGGAATTCCAGCGTTCGTTGAAGATCCAGCATCGTTAGAGGAAACTAACGATTCAGTTCTTTTGTTCTTCAAAATCCACGCGTCAGGATCGCTTCGCGTTCGCGTCAAGGCGTTGCCCCACGTATCACCGATTTCTTCACCGAAAGTCGAATTTGGTTCTCTCGCGATTTGCAGTTCAACAATACCAACGCAACTCCGCAAAGCATTTCGCGCCTCCGCCATCGACATACCGCGTATCCTACGTCCGCAGACTCGGACGATTTCATCGCCGATGCGGAATTGCTTCGATTTAGCGGCTTCGCCGTTGGGATCCATTTTGGCGATCACGTAGAATGGCCTAGCCGCCTCGCACCGTTCGACCGAAATACCAAGACCCGCCATGTGGTTCACCGTCAGCTTCATCGTTTTCAATTCACGTCGTATTAGGATCTTGTTAGCGGCAGTGACAGGTTTAATAATAGAAGTGATAGGAACCGATGACATACAAATTGTTTTCTTCGTTATGTTCCTCGTTACGTCCAGTATATCAAGTTCTAGAGTGGAACGCGATCTCTTTGGGCTGTAATATCGTAAAGGGTTAGTCATCGCATCAGTTAAGGAATGGAGTTTATTAGCCGGAGGGCTATCTTTACACGGAGACGCAGCATGCTCTAAAAGGTGTAATACACTTGGACTTGAACATTTTCTATTTTTGAATTTCTTGTCTTTCAGTAAATTCTGAAATTTAGCCATCTGAGATACGTTAATATGACTTTTTGGCGTTACACAAAGTTTTCTCTCATTGAAATCGGCTTTCATTTTAGCATCATCGATACCATACGCATCAACATCGTCACATTGCAGTGTAACGTCGAGATCGTTACGGTATGTCACCTGAAGTTTTGTTAAATCTTCGCTGGTCAATGCAGAAGTCGCAGATGCTGCTTTCATTAGATCCTTGCAAGATTTTGGCAAGAGATCTGGTTCCGTTTTAGAATAAATTCTCGTTAAATCCGGCTGGTTTTCTAGAAAATCGGCAAAAGTATCTTTATCGCAGCTGTCCGTATCGTTATCCTCTTCTAACATTAACGTAGTAGATTGGGTCGAATCTTTGAAGGAAGGATTACTCGCCGCGGCATCGATAGCGGCATCAATGACATTGACTTTCTCGATCTTCGAAATGTACGTTTCTGATGAACGTGGTTCGGTTACTATACCTGTATTTTTTTTTCTCGAAATATCACTGATTGGCGATAAGTCAATGCCGCGATAATCGTACGATGTTATTGAAAAACTACGCGTCTTCAATGAGGAAGGCACCGTCGATTTTTCACTGTCCGGCGAATCCGCGCCGGTTCGCGTACTATCAGAATCATAACCACTTTCATCACAACCTATGCGCAGGTTGCTCAGTAAATCTTCCAAACCAGTCAACGATCCGGAAGATAATCCCTGGGGATAGGAATTTCCTTTAACTTCGTTGACACCAACGTTATTGGTAGATTGGTGATTAGGCGTTCGCGTCGGAATCCTACGTTTTATTTCTCCCGAAGATTTCGGATTCACGTTCGTACCAATGTTCTCCAATGTTTCTCGTATAAATGTGTCATCCTGATGTGTTTTCAAGCTCTCATGATTTTTGAGTATGTAATCTAAGACCCGCTGTTGTTCTTGAAGATCTTGTATGCTGCGACTCAGCTGTAATTTCTTTTGACGGAGGAACATTTCCCGATCGATTTCAGCGAATTCGCGATCGTTGGAATTCTCTGGACAAATTCTTCGAAACGGAAGCTTCCTGATCGCTCCTTCGCTGAGAGTTTTCTCCATCGGACAATGACTAACATTGATGACAGCATCCTCCTCTTGTATTGTCGCGTTTCTCGTAGAACTTTTGCCATTAACAGAATGATCGCCGCTAGTCCTAAAGAGATTTCTTAAAGATTCTACTCTGGGAATTCTTTTTGGCCTTGGGAGTTCGCTATTTCCCTAAAATGTTGATTATTCGAAATATTTTTCGAAAATTTTATTTCATACGTCGTACAAAGGAAGGATTAGAGTGGAAACGCGTTTTTAAAATTCGATTTGTTGCCAAAAATAGTTTTTCATGTCCATAGGGTAAATTCAAATAAAATGGTCATAAGGAAACAATGGCCACAAATTTTTAGAATGATTAAAAAATGCTCTATTCAGCAATTATTAAAGAATAATTACAGCGGTCATCTTTTCCGTATAGACATAATACCCGAATTTACTGTATTAAAAATTTGAAATTTTTTTCAGGCATCTCTTTAGTTTTTTTTAAATTAATAATAAATATAAAAATGTTTAACTTATTGGATCGATTAATTAGCAGAATTTTAGGAAACGGTTAAATATTTCATATTCTAGGATAAATTTTTTTCTACTGCGATATAAATACAGTTAGGATTAATGCGAATCCTGGCTGCCAGTATATTAGTCAACGCTATCGTCGACTGCATTGTCAAGATAAAATCAGTGGTGAAAACGTATTAATCCGAACTATATTTATAT